TTTTTCTGTTGGCCCGAATCTTAAAATTCTTCTTTGAATAAAATTTTAGCAAAACAGTTGAATTAGAATCCATAAGCTAATTATAAAAAAATTTGAAATATGGGTAAATTTTATCAAATTAAAAAATGTAACGTTAAAAATTAAACTATTAATTTATTTGTTCTAACTTTAGCTTTTTTAACTCTTGTAATACTTTTTTAATTTTTTAGATATTTTTTAAATTTATAGTTCTATCTCTAAAAGAACTTTGATATATCTCAAAATTAATTTTTTAAATAATTTTAAAAATACATTTTACATTAATTTATATATATTAATTTGTTACCACTATCCCTACTAAGTGTGGTATGTTTCAAGTAATAAAAAGCAGCTTTGGGTTGTCAGATTGGTTAGAGCAAAGAAGAGGGCACCGACGGCTGGCCACAAGCAAAGAAAAGGTATTAGAAAAACGCTGTGCAAGGTAGTGGACCCTGTTCTCTGCGGGCACGATAGAAAATAGTTGTCCTGCTGAGTGCATTACTTGTTAGCTGCAGTTTGAAATTTTCAGTACCCTTGAGTCTTAATGTAAGAATTTCGTATAATTTAAAATAAATTGACAAAAAAACAAAGTAGTTATCTTCTAATTTGTCATTAAAAAGCCAAAATCTTAATTAGTTTTATGTAGTCAGTGTATTGAATTAACATAAAAGAAGCATTACCTGATGCAAAAATGCATGTGAATGCAGCAAACAAAGTTTTCTTCATCACTCTAATAAAAAACCCGGTTCCAGGACCCCCCATTGCAGCAAAAAAACCAGAAAGAATACAGTCTCTTAACGCCTATATTACACTTTGGTTAAAGCCAGAAGAAAATTGGGAGGGCTTAAAAATAGGCTTGAAATACCCTCCCTTTAATACAAAATTTATATTTAATCTAAAACTAATTAATAATAAGTAAAATAATTTTTCTTATGTTTAGCTCACATATTTCATTATTATTTTGACAACATGAAATTTTCTTACTTAACACAAATAAAAACTTGTTTGGGAATGTAATAGCAAGACCAACTTTTTATAGGGTGAGGAATAAAAAAGAGATATTTATGAGGGTCAGGGCTCTCAAAGCTACCAAATTCGTGCCATGCATGAATTACAAAATGAGGCATCACAGATTCTCATACCACTCAGGGTCAGTAGAGTCAGAAAGCAGTTGTCCAAATACTATGTAAAATATACAATAAGAAAAATGGGATCCAAATACCATGTAAAGTATACAATAAGAAAAATGGGAGTGATTTTAGAACTCCACCATATTTAAGGACAGTGCTTTTATTTCTATTTCTCTCAAAAGAGAATGCTAAGGCAGCTGTCTTAGGATCCTAGGAAATGCATTATATACGTGAGCAAATCCTATTTCATGTAGTATGGTTCTTATCAAGTTGTGTACAGAGGATAGCAGCTCTGCCCCCATGGCTGGCCATAAGCAAAGAAAATATATTAGAAGACCTCTTTCTCTGTGGGCAGGACAGCAAATAGTGGTCCTACCAAGTGCATTAATTGTTAGCTGGAGCTTGATATTTTCATTACCCTTGGTTGGGTCTCTTTGTTGGAGTAAATGTTTACATGTGAGGTGAAAAAAAAAGATTCCACATCAAATTAAGGAAAATAAATGGAAAAAGTGCAATACATACATGCGGTTCATGAATTTTCATGTATTTTTTAAATATCAAAATGGTGTTTTTTCATTTATATATTTATATAATTTTACATGTGCGCTTTCCGTCCCGATTGTGAGTGTGGTTGAGTTAAAACTCAACAAAAGTTGAAGATTATGATATCTTTAGGAGTAAAGGCTCTGCAGAAGTCTTGGCCTGATTGATTCCCCAACACTTTTCTCCTTGAATCATTCATCCTGGTATATATTTCTATGCTATTTACTTTTAATTGATGGTATGATACCCCACGACCTGCTCACTCTCAGTCTCATTGAGATCATTGTGAGCTACCAACCTTATAAACTCATTGGTATACTCATGCACTGACCTCTAGCCTTGAACACACCTTTGGTATTAAGAGAAAAGATACTGCTTGTAGTCAAAGGGTAGAAATCGTGCTTGAACCTTTTGCCTCATATGATACCAATTTCGAACAAAATCCCTCCCTTCTCTTTGGTGACTATCTTGCACCTTATCCCACCAAAGGGCAACACCTCCTTTTAATTGATATGCTACCAACTTCACTTTCTTCTTTTTTAGGGTGTCCATGTAATCAAAGAATCGATCTACCTCTAACAACTAATCTAAAAATCCCTCCATATCAAGAGAGCCATCAAAAGTAGGAAGGTCTACCTTTAGATGGAAGTCTTTTTGGCAAGTAGTGATTCTCTCGACAACCTCCTCCACAGCCACCTTCGAACCCTCTAATGTAGCCACGTCCATGTCCCTTGACATACTTAGGGTTCCCATGGTTCACCACTTGTTGGGCTACATCAAAATCATAATCTCTCAAATTGTCATAAGCATGTAATCTCCAGTTAATAGGATGGTGTTGATCAACAAGGTGCTCTCGAGCAACATCTCAATCAACATCCCTTGCTACCTCTGGTCTCTTATTGGGACCCACTACAAGAGTGCACAAACTTGCACGGATCTCATTGAGACTCATTTCTATCTTTGCGAGTCACCCTTCAAATCTACGCTCCAGATCTATAGCCGTCTTCATCCCTTCTCCACTAACATCAAGATGATTTCCTCCAAACTCATCGGTCATGATACCAGGATTATGCGTGCTCGCTCTGATACCAACTGACGCAACTTGTGGTAGAGGTAAATTAGTCTAAATCACCTTAGACTCAATGAATCCAAACTGAGCAAGACTAGAAAATTCCTTCAATAATTTGATAAAAAAACATTCAATAATAATCCTGATGGTAGGCCTTACATGAGTTAAATAGTCACATAACAAAACCTAGTGAAAAAGAAAATAAGATAAAAACCAAAGTCAATTTGGAAACTATAAAAACAAGCCACCCTATTTCCTGCCTACAGCTTGTTCCAACGTTTTAGGACATGTCTCTCAACCAAGGTCCATATTAGAGTATGTTTGGAGGGGCGGAGAAAACATGGGACAAGACATAAATTTTGTCTTGTCCCATTATATCCCACGTTTGCGATGCTTAGAGGATGGGATACCCTGTATCCCATGTTTTATCCAATCCCATCTTCTTTCAATAAAAAATATCCCATCATCCCAATGGGATTAAGGCCCGTTTGGTATAACGGTTTTGGGATAGCGGTTAGCGATTTTACGGAAACCGCTAAATATAGATATTTGATAAATTTACATATTTCGAAACCGCTATAAATAAAGTGTTTAGTAAAATTTTTATTTAGCG